TTCATAGGATATTTTGATCTCCATGGATCAGACAGCCCCAACTGTCCAGCAAAGGTATTCAAAGTTCTGGTTGAATTAGTTAATACACAAGGTTTGCTCAGGGATCTCTGTCTATAACAGTGTCCTGTACAAAATTAAAGTCACATCCTATGATAATATGTTTTCTGTCAATATCAGGAACAGATGAAAAAAAGTTGGATATGAACTTTTCATCATCCCAATTAGGGGCATAAATACTTGCCATAATAACAGGCACATCTCTGAGCTTGCCAGTAATTATGACATAATGCCCATTAGGATCAGACAAAACATTAACCAATGTCTTAAGATGAGTTTCTTGAAGAAGAAAAAAACATCACTCCTAAGATGTTGGAGATGAGACAAGATGCAGCTAATTTTAACAATATTATTCACCCCTTTGACATTCCATGATATAAAACGAGTTTTGGAACTCTCTTTAGTCTTAGCCACTATCAATCTGCCATGAGACAGTTTTATATCTGAGCAAAATGCAAAAGCATAAAAGAAAAAAGGAAAACTTAAATGAAAATAAAACAAAACACAATAGGGCAAGGTAGAAAAACACAATGAACATTAAAGAAAAAGAATAATAAAAACCAATTCAAGATCCTAAATTCCATTCCTAACATATCAATCCACAACCATGCTGAGAACCGTCTCAGGTTACATATGTAACCATGGTTCCCTGAGAAGGGAACGGGACACTTTCCCATAGCCTCTAGAGGTCGCTATGGGGAACGCCTTCGGTGTGTCTGAACCATACATCTAAACACGACAATAACATTGGCCGGCAACAGCCAGTAACGCAATTACCGGCGCGACTACAGTATAAAAGGGCGCTGGAAGAATGCGTCATCCTCTTCTTCGTCTGAAGCTCACATCCGAAGCATGGTGAGGCTTCTAGAGGACGCAGTGTCTTGTTCCCTTCTCAGGGAACCATGGTTACATACATGACCTGAGACATTCCCTTTCGAGGGAACTTTGAACTGCGTCCTCTAGAGGTCGCTATGGGGAACGGTATACCCACGCTGCCATACTGAGGGGAGTGAATGCCAAGCACCAAGGCGAGCACTAAGTACCAACTCTACCAAAGCTATGGGAGTTGCCCACGGGCGCCTTGACGGCTGTCAGTAACATTATCCCCTTCGGCCAAAGGCCTGAGCTGCATACCCCAAAAAACTTACCTGTTAAGGGCTGGGCTGGAAAGCCTGAACCCAGGGCAGAGCTCGAAGGCTTGGAATCAGAAACAAAAGAGATTCCTTTTAGGGGATACGGCCAAGCATCTAGGTTCTTACAATAATTAGACCCTGGCCTGTCACCCAGGGGGCTACCGCCAGCTCTGCATGAGCTTGCCCAAAGGAACTGACTCGACAGGTCCTTGGTAGCGAACACCCTGCTCAGGAAGGTATCACCAAGGATACATAAGTAGAGTGGGGCCCAAGGTGAAAACCGGAGCCTAAGCCAACTCAGAGAAAGGGAACAAGGCTGGCAGCACGTAACCCATACCATACAGGATTTTAGAAAAGTGCGCAGAATGCTTAGCGTGCACACTTACCACAATGTGGGTTTTAGAAAGTGCACAGAATCTCAGCGTGTGCACTTACCATAACATGGATTCTAGTAACACCATTACTAAGGGGTCACCGAGGCTGTTTCTTAGACAGGCCTAGAAACCCTATGTGACTGTAGCACGCTCAGGGAGCAGTTACTTAATTCAGCGGGAGTCCGCATACTCAGAGTGCATGTGGATTGAAAATGGCGTACCTCATAGAAAAAACCCTCCATATGAGGGGAGCATCGCCAACTCACCAATAATAGTCACAGGACAGGCTCCGGAGCATTACGCTCATACATAACTTGAAGGAGCGTAGCACCAAGCTCTCAAGAGGGGGACACAAACGCTCGATTTGCAGCGTGCTCATAGATAACCCTCTAGAGTGAGGGGAGCACTAACAACCTGATGCAGCTGCTCAATGGAGCTCCAAGAGCGGAGGACCTGATGAGAGGAAGCCTCAGACGCTCAATTGGGAGCAGCATGCTCAAAGGCAACTCTCTGAGGTGAGGGGAGCACTAACAACCTGATGCAGCTGCTCAATGGAGCTCCAAGAGCGGAGGACCTGATGAGAGGAAGCCTCAGACGCTCAATTGGGAGCAGTATGCTCAAAGGCAACCCTCTGAGGTGAGGGGAGCACTGCTAGGCTCGACCAAATAGGGACAACTAGTCAGGGAGGCAGCAAGCGGCCAAACTGCCTGATGTCACTGTCACGGAGTTCAGAGCGGAGGGCTCGACCTTTAGCAAAGAGAGAGGAACCCAGCTCGATTGAAGCGATCAATAGCCCATGGGCAAAGTACCTAGCTCTCAAGTAGAGAGGAGGACTCACATAATCTGCCTAGGACCAGTGAGCTCATAAAAGACCCTCCCTCAGTGAGGGGAGCACGGCCATGTCCGGGGAGCAGATTGACCGCAAATGAGACATCAGAAATGGGATCACACATTTCAACAGGGAACAACAGGGTCACAATAAAGAGGCAACTGACCAAGAAGGCGACAGGGACGGGCCTAACAACTCAGTATTGTTGCATATTGAGTTTTCGGTGGGCCCTCAAAGCACAAACTGGGAGCGATAGGATCATAGCTAACCCTCGCAGTGAGGAGAGAACTTCTCAGCTCGACCAGAAGGCAGCGCTAGATTAGAAGGGGCAGTCTAGATTAGCAGGGCCTTACGTATGTTTGGGTCCGGTGAATGAATGAAATACACTAATCCGTATTGTTCACGAAATGAAAGTTGCCTTGAACTCATAGTGCGTTCACATACACACACAATGTATTTTTCCCTTACCAATTATGTAAATTTGCAAATTACTTATTTCTCGAAAATGTTTCTATTTCATTTACTGTTTTGAACTGAAATACATTTATCTTGTGAGACACAGGCCGCAATTGATCTTCATAAATATCCGTTTCTCAATTCTACACCTTTCTATACAGTCTGTTCTGTACGTACATCAGTTCCATCAACATTTTCACAACATATTTTAATATTTTATATTTACACAGTTATCTTTGCATCAAACATATTTTTCGATGAAAAAGTGGGCTGTAAAAAGAAAATTAATAAATAGTTATGACTAATTTAAAGATTTTTTAATTAAGGCAAACAATTCGTAAAAATATTCTGTATGCGCTGCTTATAGACACCAGACAGATAATAATTTATGCAATAGATGCTCATTTTCACAAAACAGATATTTATAAAAACAGGGAAATACACACACACACACACCAGTCTTTTAATAAATGCAAATACTATAATTAAATTACGTTAAAATGTACAGATACAATTATAAATAAGATTACCAAAGTACGTTAATAAAACATACATTGAGCCCATAATGCAGAAATCTCTGAGCATCTCTTGACAGTCGCAAACCTCATTGTTGTGTCCTCGGGTACTCAGTAACTGCACAAGTAAATCCTCTTAACCGTTTATTCAACAGATGCTACCTTTTTACAGAACTGTATGGCTTCTTCTTAGGGAATACTCAGTAGAAGCTCTACACGTAACAATATACTGCCACCTTGTGGTTAAACTACAAAACACCACACTCATGATCTCATCAGATCTTATAGAGTTGTTCTAAGCACAAGGAGAGTGTACAGGTCATGTCCACAGCAGTCAGAACCAAATCAAGTCTTTTGAGCAATTTGTGTTTGAACGACGAGATCCCCGTAGATTCTGACTAACCATTGACGCTGCGAAACGCATAATCAGCAGAAGAAAGAATTAAGCAATCTCCGCATTGTATCTTGACGAATTTCCTCTCAGAGGTACGCAATAATATAAGGAGGATGTTTTCTCTTGTCTTTGATATACCACTATCCGCTATTTAATTTGAAAAACATTAATTATACGTATCTAGCTAAGTTTCCCCTAACAGTAAATGGGAACATCGCAAATACTGGAAGCAAGCATGCACACACTCGCGCTGCCGAAACTCACCAATGCCATCTTGTGCACCTAACCAATTGATAAATGGGATGATAATTGATTATATACATGACCAATGATTAATTGGTATTCCAACCTAAATTCAAGGTCATAAGAGTATATAATAGTGTAATTAAAAGTACTTTGCGCATCAAAAAGACAGAACGTGCAGGAAACCTTCATCCACACTATTACATACCGTCACTGGGCCAATTGGGTGGCAATTACAGACTATTACTCGCTGGGCATTGATAGGGATATGTCCTTAACATCCATAATAAATTCTATGCCCTTGGATAAAAGTTCATATAAAGTATGACAAGTCCATTCAAACTAATTATATTTTGTGAAACAAACTTAAATAATTGAAGTTAACCTTAGGTAAACTGAATTAGGTAAACCCTAATAACATTATATTTACAAAGTAAATTATTTTTGTGATTACTCAATGATCTACTAGTGTCAGGGTTATGCTCTATTTTGGAGTTTCTGTGTTCTGTCCTGTTTTGCCCTAGTTAGTCTCCTTGGTTTCTAATTAGTCCCACACCTGTTTCTGTTCTCCTTTATTACTTTCCATGTGTATTTAAGCCCTGAGTTTCCTTAGTTCCTTTGTCTGATCTCGTCTGTGTTTATGTGGTTGTGCATCTGTGACATCTCCAGAGATCTCGTGTGTTATTTTGCTTACTAAAGACTAAAGACTGTTTTCTGTTCACTCCATCGTCATGTGCTTTAATACAGCCACCGTTCCATGACAACTAGCCAACAATAACATGAATAAGCATGCTAAATATAACTTTTTTTAACTAAATATGATGTATGGAATGAGCAAATTTTAAGTGATCTGTAACAGAACTGACAAAACATAGCTAATGCTCATTGAATAAAGCTCCATACATCACAGTCATCATGTAGACACCCACAAGTTTGACTTCTTTATGCTGTAGCTTATTCAATATCTTGATATAATTAGAATATGTGCATTTATTGCAGTGCCCGCAGTGCCCGCAGTGAAGCAGTGGCTGGTGGTGATGGATAGGGTGCATGAGTTGACCCTGCGAGCTGTTCTGTGGTTATGGACAGTTCAGGAGCTGTGCTGGAGAATACTGGAGCTCCACAGCTTCAAACTAGTCTCTACAGGCATCATCTGGGTATGCGTGCAGGAGGTGAGACATAAAACAGTGTACAGCCTACACATACAGTACCAATACCCTCAACTAGAACCTATACAATGTTGCAGGTTTACACACTCTTATATGCATATATTTCAGGTATCGCTGATGAACTTGTTGTTTTTGGTGCTGTGGACATTTGCTTTGCCGTATTCAAGACTGCGGCCTTTGGCTTTCAATGTGTCTTCTGTTTGGGCCTGTGTGATTGTTGTGTGTAAAATGATGTACCAGCTCAAAATTATCAAACCATCTGAGTATTCTTCAAACTGCACTGCTGTAAGTATTATTTATGTGACTGCTGCCTTAGAAACATAATTTTGGTTGTACTTTATTTTACAGTGCACTTACATGTACATATAGGCCCGGTTTCACAGACAGGGCTTACACTAAACCAGGATTAGGCCATTGTTCAATTAGGAAATGTAAGTAATTTGTATTAACATGCCTTAGAAAAAACATTACTGGTGAGCATCTTGAGACAAAACAAAGGCACTGATATATTTTAAGATAAGTCTGTGCAAGTTTCTTTCAGTTAAAACAGCCCAGACTTACACTTTAGTCTGGGACTAGGCTTAAGCCTTGTCTGTGAAACTGGGGGATAATGTACTAACTTGAGAAAGTACTGGTAATATGGCATAAATACATAGTTAAGGTTAGGTTTAGGGGTAGGTTCAGGGTTAGTACCTAGTTATTAGCCAGTTATTGTAATTACTTTAATAAATATGTAGTATGTACATGGGAACAGGACTGTAAAATAAAGGGCTGCCATAATTTTATATACACATAGCATATTTTTTATATATACATTAAAAGGAAAACATTTGTTTTGTTTTGGTTTTTAGATAATAGGTGAATAAATGTACATTGGGATCGAAAGGATTTGGGAAAGTGTAATGTGAGAATAAAAACAAATGAATAATGATGAAAGAATAATGATGATTAAATCTCAAACCTGGCAGAGGTGAGAAAGGTTTACAAAAGAAACATGAATAGGGTTTGCCGTGACATAAATTAGATCAGGGGTGTCAAACTCAGTTCCCAGAGGGCCATAGCCCGGCAGAGTTTAGCTTCAACCTTAATTAAATGCACCTGAACCAGCTTATCAAGTCCTTCAGGCTTATTTGTAAACGTCTCAGGTTACTTATGTAACCATGGTTCCCTGAGTAGGGAACGAGACACTGCGTCCTCTAGGGGTCGCTATGGGGAACGCTTCGTTGTGACCCGTGTCTGAAACATACACTGAAAAAAACACCAACAACACGTTGGTCGGTGACAGCCCATGTCATCACTACCGGTGCGATTATAGTATAAATAGGCGCCGGGAGAACATGTCATTCACTTCTTCGTCTGAAGCTTGCGTTCGAAGCATGGCAGGAAGCCTAAAGGACACAGTGTCTCGTTCCCTACTCAGGGAACCATGGTTACATAAGTAACCTGAGACGTTCCCTTTCATGGGAACTTCGAACTGCGTCCTCTAGGGGTCGCTATGGGGAACGGTATACCCATGCCGCCATGCTGAGGGGAGTGCGGGCCAGAACCATGGCGAGCACTAAGTACCAACTCTACCATATTGCTATGGGAGTCGCCCCTGGGACGTTAGACGGCTGTCATTTACATTTACATTTACATTTAGTCATTTAGCAGACGCTTTTATCCAAAGCGACTTACAATTGGGGGATACAT